TGGACCTGACTGTAGATACAAAGAATTCAAGCATACTTCACAGAAGACTTCAGAGGTATGCTCATGTTTGTTCATATTCGTTTCCCTTTACAATACGATTCAATAAATCGCCCCACTCTCTGATTCCACTCCTTCACAGTAGAAAGCTATCCAATCCAACTAGACCGAAATCCTAAATGACATTTCAAACTTGATGTTTCGGTTAGTTCTTTTAAGATATCAAGCATTCCTCTCTACGGGAGTGCAATAGATATTTTTAAGGAAATCTAGGCAAAAATGTTGAAAAATATATTTTATTCCTTTGGTACTGAAGTGCTGATATCAATATAAGTTTTAAGTTATGAGGACAGCATAACTATTGCTTGATTTTAAATCTCACCACAAATATGCTTCTTTTGGAGAGATTCTCCAGTGATGTAATACCGGTGGATACACACATAAATACATTCCATCCAATTGATAATTAATAAAATGTGACACCACGTTAACCACATACACCATCTCAGGAATTTAATTGCAAACATTATCCATAATTTAAAAACTTGCTATATAACTTAAAATTATACAAGCTGTTCTTCCCACTTGATTATCTGCTGTGACACCCAATCAAACTGACATTTTAATCATTGAAAAAGAGATTTGCAAAAATATAACCTTCAGCTTCAAAATGTACTATACAGAACTAGAAAATGCACTTATGGCACACTACTGAGTTAAATGCATTTTAGAAAGCGCAGCAGCAAAGAAAAAAAAAGATAGGTGTTCATTAGTGTGTTATTTAAACATCTTGACAGAAATCCTAGCCAGGCCACAAAATATGTACAGAGAATGCTTTGGAAGCATATGTACAAAACCGCAGATCTGACTCCTTCTTACACTTGATCACGAAGACGTGCCAGTCTTTGTGAGAGCTCGTCCTGCAAAATTCAGAGCAGAGACAGTGATGAATATATGATCAAGATACAAAACACATTACAAGAGTAGCAACTGAAGAAAAAAAGAGATCATGTTCAAGCAAAATCTCTCAGGTCAAGGTAAGTTTGGGCCAGACAAGTGGATTTCTTACTTTTTTAAAAAGCTTCTTTCTGGATTGCTTTAAATATAGATTTTGTATGGACAAGTGTGATGAAATATGGGAGTGATTTATACAAAATACAGTAGGTTAAAAAAAAACATGATAGTCATATAAATCTATTAGAAATATATAGTTACTTGAATAA